TGAATGGAAGGGTAGGAGATCAGGGAGGATGGAGTTTCTGGAACAGAAGATTGAACAATGAAAAACAGGACATCCATCTGCATCCTGGGTTCACCTCACTGTGTAGGTTAAGTGCAAGATTTCTGCATTTCAGAGAATTTCACTGATTTTTTTTCCTCCTCTGCTTGAAAAAGAAAAAAGAAAAGAAAAGAAAGAATCCACCCCCCCCCCCAACAGATTAAGAATGGTAAAGAAATAAAATGCATCACATTCCTTTAGAGACAAACATTTCTAAATCCATATACTCCAAATACCCATCTGGCCAACACTGAGATTTTCTTCGTGAAATGAAAGCACGCAGAGACATTAAGAATCTGCAAGATGCTGGGTGTGGTGTCACGATTGAAGCCCACCCCCTTGTGCTTGCAAGCATTACCAAGAAGGACAGCTTCAAATCGCAACACTGCGCTTGCCATTTTGCAGTTTTTGGATACCCCTGGAAGGACATGTGGCAGAAGAATACCTAAATCACCATGCAATTGTGTTTTTTGTTTTAGCCATTCTTTAAAAAAAAAAATTGAACTTTTATTTCCATAAGTTCCCCCTTTGGTAAAGAAAGCCTCCTTAGAAAAATAAAGCCATTTTCATTTCGTTCGGCATGCAGTAATTTCTTATTTATTTATTTATCATATTTATATGGCCGCCCATCTCACAAAACATGACTCTGGGTGGAGTACAATAAAAAGAACCACAAAAAGGACAATATTAAAAAAAAATTCCACAATTAAAACATTAATATTGTTTTTAAAAAGCTAGGAGAGAACATTGGATGTTACAGGCAATGCAGCCGCCTCATTCAATCATCATTTCCTTGAGACCCCCAAGCCTGTTGACACAGCCAAGTTTTGAGGGACTTCCAGAAGGACATCAAGGATGGGGCCAGTCTCACCTCAGAGGTGGGGAGGATGATGTTCCACAGGGTGGGGGGCCCAGCAGAAAACACCTGTCTCCTGGGTCCCACCAATTGTAGCTCCTTAAACGATGGGACCTACAACATACCTCTTCTGCCAGACCTGACCTATCTTCCCCATAGCCCTCAACATTTAACCCTGCTTGTGTTCAAGTACCTGATGTAAGCTTGGTGGGGAAATGTGACATCGCCAGGGCAAACCTGGGTTTGGATTTTTCCTCCCCCTTTCTGTCTGTCTGTCTGTCTTCTGAGTCTGCTTTTGGTTCAGAGTGTGCAGATTGGAAGCACATTATGAAGGGAAGGTAAAACACGGGATTGTTCGAATGTGAACGCCAGCATGTCTGTCTGTGTCTGTATCTAACCTGCCAGCTTGATTTCATTGCAGAGCATAATCCATCTTCAGAGGCGAATTTATAGGGAATCATTAAGGAAGGCCTGCTATTGATTTGCTAGAAGCTGGTAGCCGCACTAAGAGACTGTAACCCCAATTGGACAACATTTACTTGATCCTGCAAGCATTTTAAGCGGGCACTTTGTTTGTATAGCGAGAGCTATTGCCTTTTGCCCAATTTGGAGTGGTGAGTGATGGAGACAGTGGCCAGGGCTGCTAAGTGTTTAAATGATGACACCATTATGTCCAGTGATTATTTTCCGACCCCTTCTTCTCTGAAACGTGAGATTCCAGGCAAGAATTACACCTGTTCTCTCATCTCCTTCGAATCTCGACTCTGCTGGCTATGGGGATGATGATTGATCTGTTTGTGACAGATTGCAGGAAACAACCATTGATTTTTCAATATTTTTACCTTAAAATTATTTACAGTTGTAACCAGGGGGATGTATTTCCATGGGCTGTCGGCTTCTGAAAGACGCCGGGATAATATTCCCTACTCCCTGACAAGACAAATTACCTGTAATGATTGCAGTAGCTGAAGGGTATACTTTTATTTTAAAATATGTCAATAACTGCAGTGACTAAACGAATATTGATTCAGCATAATGAAGCCTGAGTAATGTGAAAATGAGATCTTCAAGGGAAGGAAAGAAGGAGAGATTCCTCCCCCCACCTACCTACCTATCTACCTTCCTTTCTCCTCCTCCTCCTCCTCCTTTGTCCTCCTTTCTTAGCTTGTAGCAAGGAAGTCTTCTATTCTTCATGGCTGTCTGTCAAAAATGTGCAACATTATAAGCATTTCACCAATAAACAATGAAGGGAATAAGCCACGGTTTTGGAGGCCGAGAGCTTGAACGTACAGTGTCCTTCTAAAATAAAGGAATGTTCTTCTAAGTTAGTCCTCTGACCTAGAAGGAGAAGGGGAAAAAACAAAAGACTTTACATGGGAAATATTCAAATGTTGGAATCTGGGGGAAAAAATGGCCAAAGAATCCAAGGATGTGTTAGATGTTCTCAAATTTATTCTAGGAGATCTCTCTTCAACCTCTTCCCCTTTCAGTCTGTGGGGATTGCATGCTGGCTCTGAAATTCTGAGAGCTCCAGCCCCAATGGATCTGGAGAAAGTCTGTTCAAGAGCCCTTACAAAGACAAGGGCAGAGTTTGGCCTTTGGCATTCTTGGCATGACTAGGTCTGCTTCCCAAAAATGGGTCAGAGCAGGACTAAAAAGTGGTCAGAACTGGGACAAAGCTAAAAACCCTCTGGCAACATCTGAATTATGGTAAGGAATCCAAACATGACCCAATTTTTGTGGAGCTGGCTTCCTTCTAGGATAAATGAACCCAGACACATTCCTTGGAAATATTCTTACAACTGTGATACAGAATGAAGGTAAAGGTCTATATTCTTCTTTTGTGTACAAGAGAGATCTCAGAGGTCTTTTATTACTGGGGGAATGTGGTTTGTGGGAAATTGAGGATGGCTGTGAAGATTATGCAGCAGTAAAGCCTATGTTTTAGCTTTCCATAGCTCCATTATATCTATGATGCATGTCCCTGTGACATTTATGAGTTAATTTTATAAGCGCACATGGAACATTTGTGGGGTAAATCTTTCAGAATCCCTGTCCTGTATTAAATGATCTGGGCTGCAGTTTCCAGACTAATATATGGATTGGGACTCAACTTAAAAAGTTGAAACGAGTTTCCAGCAGTCCAAAAGTGTCCAATATCCTTTTGATTAAAGGTTTAATTAAGGATTTTTAGAGCGTGTGCATGTTGTGTGTACGCATGTAAGTATAAATGTGTGTGACGGGAGATTATTAGTAAGAAAAGAGCCAAACTGTAAGTCACAATCATTACTGTGAAACTGATGCAGGCTGCAGTTTGAGAGTTTGTCCCATTTTAAACTGAACCCATCATGAAGCAACCCAAGTCTGTTTTCTTTCTGCTAAAAATGGCAGGACTTTTTTTTTCATAGCGTTCCATTTTGTGTGCACTGGATATGTTTATTCCACACTGATCTGTAAAAATATAAATCTGCTTCTCATTTTAAAACTCTTTTCTTGACACCTGTCTAATCCATTTTAACTCCAGTATCCTTGGCATTTTTTTTTTTAAATGTCAAAGGAGGGGTGTACATATTTCTCTTTCTCTTCTGATGGAAAGAAAAAGGTTCTATGATTTATTCGCCTCTTGTAATAATATAAGGCACCTATATCTCCTCCCCCTCCCTCCCTAAATGAATTCATTTTATTCCACCCATCTAAGGAGAACTCTGTTTTTCAGCTCAGGTGATGTCCTTGGGATGCTGGCAACAGCTGGAACTGGAGACCTTGTACATAATTCACAAACAGTGGAAGCTTCCGCCCTGCTCTTTATTTACTGCGTGCACACATTTCATTTCCAGCTTGGTTCAGGTTGCCTTCATTCGATCTGTTGGCCACTCTGACCTGTCATATTTTATTTTGGTGTCCTTTTGAAGGGCTGTATGCCACTTCTTTTAGTTGTGTTGCTTAGTGTGAGAGAAAATGGAAGTCCTCTGAGAAAAGCTGGCCAGTCTTCTATCTTGAATGGAATATTCAGAGGTCTAGAGAGTCAACAGCAGGACGAGTCCCTTCATCCGTGTCCCTAGTTCCAGAATGTGGTGTGATTATAGATAATTAGCTTGAAGGATCTGTGTTCTTTCTATCTGGTCCTGTCAGCTGTTAGACCAAGCTAGCACTTCCAATAATGTATTAGACTTGTCTGATGTTTCATCACGGATATGAAGGAATTTGTAATGATATAAATGTGGGGAAGAAATGAGTATGCTTATGAACAATCAGAAATACAGAGGATGCGGGTCTAGTTGGGCTGTGTCCTGTAACATGTGAAATATTCAAAGAGGCCTTATACACCTGAATCTTTCTGTTCCCAGTGATTCCTCTTTGGCTTTTCTCTAGTCATACTTAGGTTGAAGAACCACTACTTCCTGCTTCCACACACGCAATGGCTTGAAGGACCTGAGATGACTTATGATGTGAATGTGTTTATGGATGGACCAGCCAGAGATTTGTATCTCCACCTATCTTCTGTTTTATCAAGGAAATGATGGCCTGAAAGCATCTGATCTTAATTTTTCAGGGAGACTCCTAACATGTCCTTTTCTCCTCTTCCTGTGTGGGAATCGGAGTCCACAAAGAGGTCTGGTGCTACTGAAAATTCTCAGCTCTAACTAGTTGAGCTATTTCGAGCTCAAGATTCCTATCTTTAACTTGTCTCCTGAACTGAGAGCATGATTTTGACCATAAGAGTGGCAACTGAAGATGATACTTGGAGGTGAAAAGGCAAACCCATCTTTGTTAAGTGATCTTGAATAAGAGGCTTGATGGACTACCTACTTCTCAGTCTGAGTAACTTGCCTATCGTATAAATGAGGAAAATGATTTGTGTATACAAATGTGTGAAAATTGAGTGAAGAAGCACCTCAGATGAAATAACAGATTTGTTGATAATCCATCTTGTATTCTAGCCTTTCTCATCAATAGCCCAGTTTCCTAAAATCTAGCTTAGCATTACTGGCCCTGGAGATAAACCGGAATGAAGCAATTTATGAATCGTCTGAATGCTCTTCCATGGTATCATTTTTGCAAATAGACTTTTTTTTTTCTTTAATAGGTAAACTGTGATCCCAGTAGAAAAGCTCTTTTCCCACCTGGTGCCTTCCAAGTTGGCCACTTTGGCTGAGATATTTTGGGATGGAAGCTGGAAGGCAGCAATTGCTAAGGTATGTGGAGAAAATTCTGGACATGTTCATTTTTTTTTTTTGACGTTTTCAGTATGCAGTGAAGTAGCTTAAACCCAAGGTGTGAGTGATGTCACAAGTATGTTGACTTCATCCCTTTCCTCCTGTGATTCCTCCTTAACCTTTTTTAAATTGCAGTCCCATAGAAATAACCATCAGCAATTCCATGCCCTGGATTGCCAAATCTGAATCAACTGTGGGTGCTGCTGAAGTCAGAGAGTCTCCGGTTGCCACACACATTGCTTATTTTTAATCCCTGTCCTTCCAGAAAACAATGTCTGAAATAGGCTTGTTCCTCCTGCTTCTTAATCCACCATGTGTGGCTCTGGTAGAACCATGTAGTTATCCTTAATTAAGGCAACGTAACGGGAGCCTAATGTGTTTCATATATATAGCTTAGGAGAGGATGACATTAGGTCAGCAACTCAAATCATACCTCTGAGTGCACATAATGACCAGGCATTAGAGTTTAGGATTGCAGTGGTGTTTGTTTAGTCCTCAAGATAGAAAACAAAATGTAAACTTGGAGTAGACAGAATCCATTTTTTATGCAGATATAAATACTCCAAATAATAGGTTGGTTTCGACTAGACTTCCTGACTCTGCAATGATTGCTGTATTCTGTGCAAATATTTCTAGATCCCAAACATTCTCTACTTGGTTGTTTCTAAGTTCCTATTTTCACCGCACTTACAAAAATGTTTGGCCAGAGCCCACAATTTACCTTTTTAACCAGGGCTATAAATTCCACTTCTGAACTGTTCTAATTTTGGTTTGTGGCAAACAAAATGTAATGTATTTATTAAGGAAGTGGATGGTTGTAAGTAACAAGTCTTCCTTGTTTTAGGACATAAGAAGTGCTTTCCTGGATCTGACCAAAGGATCTTCTCGTTTGTCATTGTTTCCAACAGCAAACAGCCAGATGGCTCCTGAATTTTGTAGTAGAACATGATGACGGAAGCTGGGTTGCACTGTTTACTCCCAGCATCTGGTTTCCAAACTTTACATTCCAGTTACCTCCTGCATACAGTCCTATGAACTGACTTAGATTTTTAAGATTGTCTTCAGAGGTCCTTACAGACCTCACTCATTAAGATCTGTAAGGTTGCCATGTTCTAGAGGTAAAGCCTACTCAGTGGTGGTGTCTACCTAGTGGACTTCACTTTTTTCACCAGGGATGCGAAACCAGGAAAATTATGAAATATAATCATAGTAACTTATATGAACGTTAAATGTTTAGCTTGGCTCCACCCATTCCTTTGCCCTGGCCTTAGTCTGAATGTTGTTCAAATCCTGCAGGATGTTCTCTGCCTTAGGGAAGTGTTCCATCTGTTATAGATATGTCACTAAAACCTTGTTTTCTCTCATTTTTAATTGAAACACTTATTGGTGTGCTGCTCTTCCTGCATTTGCTATAAAGCTTTGGTTAATGACCTCCCATTTTACTGCAAATGGCTTATTTTGATTTTATCATTTTTCTTTGTATGGGTATTTGGTATTGTAAGCTATCATGAGGAAGCCACATCTTGAAAAGTGTGGATGGATATTAATTTTTTAAAGTTAATTAAAAAAAAACGTGCTTAGTACCCATTGACAGACCTTTCTATGTGTGCTTGCAATCAATTTTGGAAGTTATCTAATCATCACATTTCAAACTAGGGCATTTGATAAGTCGTTTAGATAGACAGGTCAGTCAGCTATTATTGGCTGCAGAGGGATAATAGAATTTAACAGTAGGAAGTACTTTTAACAGTGGGAAGACTGGCATCTCACTGTTATAGTAGTAAAGATTATAGTAGCCATTATTGCTACTACATTATTATATTCCTCCTCCCAAACTTCTATCAAGCTACGTGCATTAAACTGCTGCTTTCAGATATTCCATATGCTTCCATTGCAGATCATTGTTTACTTTCCTTGTACAACCAAACACCTTTGGCGACATAATGTCTGGCTGCATAAAGAAGTTTCCAACTATCGTGTTCACTTCCTTTGCATATGTTGCGTGCAAAATACAGGCTTTGTCACCAAAGTATAATCCAGCAAGCCAGGGGTGACCAAATTCAAATCTATTTGAAAAGAACAAGGTAAGCTTATTCTAGCAAATTGTCTATAGATATATCTTTATAGAATATATCTTTCTACAATACAATGTATATATTTATACAATTACTTTCTCTCTGGGTATTTTTTTTCAACTTTTGCTTTCACTTCTACTAAAATGGCCTGTTTCTTTGGTTGACCGACATGAGCTTTAGTGCTTCCATGGGCCCTTGGGGGTCAAGAGCAATTAATACAAACCAAGATTGGTCCTTTGAATGCCTTTCCTGCATCTTTCCTGGAGTTGAAAATGTGTTAGAATTAGCAGTGAGGTCTCATTGTGCTAGCTGGATTGAATTTGTTCGGAGACAAGATCCCAGCGCTTGAAATAACTCAACATTTGGTAAGTATGCCCTGGCCACTGATGGACCATGGATGAACTATTAAGACCACCATTTAGAGGTACCCCATCTAGGACTTCCTATAGTTTGGGGAAATTGGCCATTTCTTCTTTGCACTAAGCAAATGATATAAAGTGTAGGTGACAGGCAAGAACTTCTCATCTACTCTAGAACAAAGTTGTTTATGGGGCAGTTGAGTATGTTATGTCTGAGAGCATTTTGGCATGTCACCACAGGCTGATGTGTGTTTTGTGTTCCCCAGTTGCTTTTCTTCTTTGCTAATTAGGTTCTTGTAAACATTTGCAGTGTTCGAACGCTCCTCCATGTACTTCCCACCTTCCCAAATTCAGCCTTGTGAGCTCTGCCTGTAACTATTAGGGTAGTCTGTTGATTCGACAGCCCTTTTAAATTAATAGAATAACAGGGAGCAGACGAGCATATCTGTTAATTTTTCAAAACATTTTCATTCCGCACAAATTAGCATAGGTCTTGGAGGGCAAACTGACAAGAGGTTGTTGGTAAACTGTGTATTTAATTAATTGAAAAAAAAAGATACTCAAATTGCTTTTGCAGTTGTTATTAAAAAGTCGAATCAGTGTTGTGCCAGTTCTCGACTATAATTAGCACCTGGGGGAATTAAATATTTAGCATTCGTAATGTAACAGTGCTAAGGACACAAATTTCTATTTTTGTAATGAAAGCAACACAGTGTAAGTGCAAACGTTGGAGCCGACAGCTGTGACAACCCAAACAGCTTGGGATATTTCAATAAGACACCTTATCGGACAGCTAGTCTTCCTGGGTTATTATTTGGAAAAGATCTGTGAGCTGAAATCCCACTGGAAGCCTGTTACCCCAGTATTTAAACGTGCTTGCCGTGCAAAACAGTTGAGCAAACGTTGCGTGGTAAGGACTTGAAATGTAGCGTTTTCCCCAACCGGCCTTCTCAAAAATTCAGCTTTTAAAAATGTGTGTGTGTGTTTTTTCCCCCAAGGGGGTGTGGATGAATGGATAAGAACACAAGAGATTTGTTTCTTTTAAGTTTAATTACATTTTAAGCATCAGTGCTTTCGGTAAAACAACATGAGAAGTTGGCTGTGGGACTTTAATGAGCTGCAGAGGGGAGATGGATTGAGAAAGCCAAGGGGATTCATTCAATAAAGTAATGGGATAAAGGGAGCTGAGTTTTGCTTAAGCTCAGTCTGATGGTTGAGCCAAGCTTAAACCCTTGTTTCAGAATGGGGTCCCCTTTCAGTTTTCATTTTTACTTGGTCATGTAGAGGCTTGAAACAGTAGCTGCCTGTTGCTGCTGTTCACTTTTTCAGAGTTTATTGTCTTACCACCTTACAGCAAACTCAACTTGGGGGGGATTTAGACCCTAAGCACACTCTTCTCAGTATGTCTTTATCTTTTCAGTATTTCTTTCCGAAAAGCCAATCAGGGCCATCAAAACTGAACAGACGGTTAATTCAGAGGTTGCTTTGTTCTAGTTTTGGAACAAAAAAATCCCTAAATATGTCTCAAACAGGCAAATGCAGCCAGAGACTTTCTGAAGTAGCTAGAAAACTGCCCTGTTGTCTATGATAGCTGTGCTTTGATATGTGCAGGGCCCAACTTTGGATGTTATGTGAAGATTGCCCTCTATTTTCAATGCCTGTTTACTGGATAAGTGGAAATAGGTTTTTTCTGTGTCACTCCCAAGAGTTCTGTTTGGCCTTCTGCTTTCTCCAGTTTCACAAGAGCAGTTAGGATGAGGCCTTTCAGAGGCCAGGCCTTTCTCAGTTAACGGTTTTAGTGGTAAGGGCAAAGTATTTCCACATTTTAATATCACTTTCCTTTTCTTCTTTTTTATCTTTTGAATAGTATATGTATGTATGTACGTATGCCTGTTTTTGTGGCACAGGTAGTCCTCGGGTTATGACGGCAATTGGGACTGGAATTTCTGTTGCTAAGTGATGCAATTATAAAATGTGATGTCATGTGACTGCATTGCTTAGCAATGGCAGTCCTGGCAGTCTTGGTTGCCGTTGTAACCCCAGAACTACGAATGTTGTTAAGCGAGGACATCATGTAACTGTGATGTGGGAAGAGGTGGGAGTCCCAGGCAAGTGGGCTGGCAGGCAAGAGCTACAGGCAGGAGGGCAGGTGCTGCAGGTGGGCGCTACGGAGCATCAGAGGGCAGACAGGTGCAAAAGCTGTGGGAGGGACTTGCAACCTCCTGCCGGCTTCCCCATTGACTTTGCATGTGGGAAGCTGGCAAGGAAGGTCACAATTGGTGATCCCATGACTGCAGAACACTGCAACCATTGTAATTGCAAGCTGGTTGCCAAGCACCTGAATTGTGATCATGTGACTGTGGAGATGCTGCGATGGCTGCAATTTCGAGGACTGGTCGTAAGGCCCCCTCATTCAGCACCGTTGTAACCTTGGTCACTGAACGAGTAGTCATAACCCAAGCATTACCTGTATGTATATGTGTGTGTTCACTACCCTGAGTGTTTTATGAAGAGAAAGGTAGTGTATAAATTAAATAAATGCGGGGTTTCTTTTCTCATTGTATGAAAAAGAAGGTGAAGAAATGTATGGTGACATTAAGATGTATTAATAGGGAATAGAAGAAAACGAGTATAGTAGGGTACTTATGTTTAAGTTCTGACTAATCTGCATTGATTCCCTTAGGTTTTTATAGCACTCATATTTTGCTTCATATATCTAATCCAGCTAAATTGGTTTTAAGCCTACAGATTATCTGGTTGCTCTGACCTATGGAGATTCTCAGATGACCTGTTGCAGCGAGTGAGCACAGCTAATAATCTGGAACTGGATCTTACTCCAAAAAAAAGCCATAGATCAGCAGTAGATTATATGCTTTGCGTGCAGAAATTCCCAAGATCGATTTCCTGATATTTCCAGGTAAACCTGAGCCAAAAAATTAAATAAATAAACATTCCACCTAAGCTGCTCCAAGTCAATACCAATTGCTCTTCTTTGAGCATCATAAGCATGTTTTGCTTGGAAGAGGCTCTTTGTGCAATCAACCTATGAAATGACATGCCTCTAGGTTCCATTTTGTGACGATGGCAGATCAAGATTACAGAATCCTTAATAGTGCAGAATTGGGTGGTCCTCAGTCTAAGGTTGGCTCCTAAAAGCCTCTCGATCCTTTTGGTTGGAATAACTGCAATTCTTTTGTGTGTTTTAGGAATGGGGTCGCTTTTGTGATAAAACTGTGGATCATTGCCCAAACTTGATAGTGGAGTTCTGAACTATTATGATGACAACTGAGTATCTTATTAGGAAGTGTGCTAGGAAAGTAAATATGGGAGGAAGGCAACTGCCATGCTTCTGTTTTCCCAGGTCCCTTTGTTGGACACCTTCAACTTATTTCTAAGAGGACCATTTTTCTTCCTGTGGAGCAGTGAGGGTGGACTAGTTTAGATAATGAGATGATTAACAACTTCCATTTACTTCAGTGGGCCTACTCTGAGCATGCCTGAATTTGGATCCAGCCAAAAGAGCTTAGAGGAATTACTTCATGATGTCAACAAAGACATATTAATATGTCAACAGATCTTGTGTTGGCAAAATATATGAAATAAAACTCACCAAACACAACTGTAAGGTCTTTGTGAACTTCTGAAAAGTTAAGAAATGCAAATGACGTACCTAATGGTGCAGGCTGTAAATGGGGTGAGTCAAATCTCTCTCCTGCTTCCAAGATAGATTATTAGGCTATTAAATTCCTTTTGGCATCCTACTTTTTTCTATGAAATGTATTGCTTAATGAATCCTTAAACATCTGTTCTGTGATCCTGTTGGACACTTTTTATGGCATCCGCTTTCCAAGTATAGGATTAGCCACCTGGCATTGTTTTAAAAAGTTATCCTACCTTTATTAGAGAGGATGGAGCAAGGATTAATCCTGTTGTAATAATATAATTTTCCAAAGAGACAGACTGTTGCTTTCCACCTTCCTTTGCTTATACAAAGGAGAAATATTTATTCACAATTGTTGTGATTATAGCATGATGATTATACATGAGCAATATTAGTAGTAATATTAAATGCTACTTGACTTCCAATACGATGATTCTGAATTAAGAGTCTTGAACAATTTAAAAGTGTAGATATCTCCTCTTTTGTTTTGCTTCAGCAGCCTAAGGGAGTTACCTTCTGGGAACTGACATCTATTATAGATCCTTTTACTTTACAAAATAACACTGTGGTGGGAAAGAAGGATGGGGCATCCAAGGTATGTTGGACTCTATTTTGGATTGATTTCATAAGTCAAAGCTTGTGTTGAAGCAGCCTTCACCAGCCTCATGTCCTTCACGTGTGTTGGATGTCAAGAATCATCAGTTAGCTGACCAATGGTCCAGAATTATTTCAAATTATTTCTCTGTCTAACTCAGCTGGGGAGCCTTTTATTTATTTATTTGGGGGGGGGGATAGGGAAACACGCAGATGTTATGCAGAATGTCAAATAGAGTAGAAGCACTGGGAGGGAGGGAAATTACAAAGAAGAAAAGTCACAGTTTGTCAACAAAGATGTCAGACATTCAGAGAACTCAACCCCAAACTTAAAATGGAGGGAGGGGATAGTTTGCATCCAACTTTCAGTAGTAACCTGATATATTATCTACTTTGACTGGCAAAGCCTGAAACAGAGATCTGACATCTCAAGTACCTCAGATCCTTTTAACCTGAGATGCCAGAAATGAAATCTGGGACTTTCTGTGTATTCTGTCCTACTATAAAGATTTGTGGTGGAAGGGGGAAAGTTGCCATATTCCTTCAGTCAGCCCCGAATGATGAAGTTTGTGGAAACCATCATCATTACAAAAAATCTAGGACATATGTTATCTTCCAAAACAGTATATGTTAGGGCATTTCGATGTGCCTGTTAGAGTTCTAGATACTTCTGAACTTCTCAAATAATTTTTATTTATTTATTAATTGAATTTATATACCCTCATTTACTACTCAGATCTGTGTAGTCTTTAAGTGTTATCGTAGCCATTCCGTCGTGGTGTGCCTTTTTCCAGTGGAATCATGTAGTAAGGCTGATGTAATCTGTCAAAAACATTCTTGTACAGTGAGCTCATCTCAGAAGTGAGACGTGATGGGTTGCAAATCAAATACACTATACCTGCTTTTTAAATATAGAACGATGTGGCGATAGGAACGAAGAAGCCACATGGGATTATCATAGCAGCAGAAGATTCACCGGTGTATCTCATAAGAAAACATAGCATTAAAAAATGGGAAAAGAAAACAAACATTCCAGCTGCCGTTCTTGTCTACCCATTCCTGGAGCAAAGCCACCCAATTGTTTTGGAATAAGCGTCAGTTTGGGCTCAGATAGGGCCAAAATTGTTTGACAGCTACCTTACAGCTTTGAACAAAGCTGAGCAAGGTGAGTGAAAAGCATCAGACAGTCCCCACTGGGCTCATGACTTTGCTAGTAATGCTTTGTCATCCAGAGCACAAAAGATCAACAAAAACAGCAATGTTGCTTTAATCCCAGTTATCATCTCCCAACAGAGCTAGCTTCCGATCAATCATCCCTGAAGCACCATATGGAACCAGAAGTCTTCTCAATCAAATTCAGAGGCTCATCAGCAGATAGAAAGGGCAGCACTTAGAGATACGCAGAGGATCCAAGCATGCATCTTTCTACGCATATTGTCCCATTTTGCAAACATGTTTTACACACTGAATGATACCAGTGGGGTAATCTAGCTCTCTTTAGATTAATTTGAAGTTGTCTCTTCAAAAATGAAGGGCAATGTCTTGTGTTTTTGTTTAATCCCAAAGCCTTGGATAAATGGTGTCCTCTGTATAATCTGTGGTTTCTCCAAAATGATCTTTGGTCCTAACAGGTTACAGCTGGGGCCATGTGGAAAAATTCTGCATATTTTTGTAATAATTCTCATTGACTATCATGAAATAACTTGCTTTGAGAATTCCGTTCAAAGGAGAACAGAATTTTGATGAAAATCTCATGGGTGGAGGATTCCTTCCTTCCTTCCTTCCTTCCTTCCTTCCTTCCTTCCTTCCTTCCTTCCTTCCTTCCTTCCTTCCTTCCTACCTACCTACCTACCTACCTACCTACCTACCTACCTACCTTTGTATACCTGCCCATCTTAAAACAGAACTCTGGGCAGCTTACAACCCAACAATAAAAATAACATATATAACTAAAACAAGCTATGAAACCAAAAACAGGAAAATCAGAAAAACCTGGCACCACAGCAACACATCCCTGATGCAACCCATCATGTTCTCTTCCCACTGTGACCTCACCCTATCCCAGTGGAAGAGCCAGACCTTGAGTGCTATCCAGAAGGTTAAAAGAGCAGGGGCCCGTCAGATCTTCAGGGGGATCATATTCCATAGGGCAGGGGCTGCAATGGAAAGGCATGCTTCTGAGGACCCACAAGATGACAAGGGAAGGGGCCTGGAGTGTTTGTTTAGCTCTAAATTGGCAAGGAAGAGCCAGTTTAGTGTAGCAGTTTAAGGAACTAGGCTAGAAACCAGGACACTGTGAGTTCTAGTCTTGCCTTAGGCACGAAGTCAGCTAGGTAACCTTGAGCCAGGCCCTCCATCCCTCAGCCCTAAGAAGAAGGCAAGGGCAAACCACTTCTGAAAATGTTGCCAATAAAACTACATGGATCTGCCCATACAGTTGCCAGGAATCAAGACTGTAATGGTATGTGGGAAAGACCTTGGAAGATGGAGCCGAGACATGCTGCCTAGGGAACAGTCAGATAAGAGAGTGCATAGTCCGCAGCTGAATAGTGGGAAAGGCAAGATTCTCACCAGGTAGGCCAGAGAGGAAACACAACCAGATAAGCTAATTCTACTTTACTGTAAAGCACCATTAACAGAATCTTGCAAGTCTGAAAGTACAATTCTTCTGCTGTCTCCTTTACAGCCCAAGAAACTAGGGAGGGTCCCTTCTGAGCCTCTTGCCCCATCCACTATCCAGCTGTGGGCTATGCTGTCTCTTATCTGACCATTCCCTAGACAGCATCTCTTTGCCTCATCTCCCAAGGTCTTTCCCATGTACCATTACAAAGACTGACTTGAAGGTGTCCAAAAAAACCAAACCAAACCAAAACGATGAGTTGTAGGAATGCTGCATCTTTCACTGTATAGTTGTCTCTCCGATGATCTGAATCTTCCCTGGCTTCCCAGAGATCAATTAAATCCCAAAATGAGGCTCTAGCAGGGATCCCTTTCCATGGGCCTTTGTCAGATTGCAAAGTTCAGGCAACTGGGGAGGCTTCAGGGTTGTGAAAAGTTTGTAACCGAAGTGTCTTCTGCCTCCTAAAAACAATCAGTTACACATGTTTCTAGCTGTTGAAAGAGAAATGGCAGAGGATCAAACCAAATAATGCCAACTAAGTATTAATTTCTCCTTTGAGTTTAAAAAAAAAGCATAATAACAATGATCTAGGATCCAGGCGTAATTTAAGCAGCTCTGCATTCATGTCTCTCTAGCCATCTGCTTTTTTGAGTGGGTATCTCATGTCGCATAGTGTCTTCTTCCATTCCACATCAAGCTTATCCCAATTTTCATGAGGAGGAGAACTGTTTTCATTCCTTAGCCCTGTTTTTTTCCCCCCTCTCTACACTAGGTAACGTTTGCCAAAGTCTTAACATACTGAATTCTATCAGCTTATTTGGAACACAAACATCTTGCCTGAGGATGCCATACCACATTTCAGAGGACAATGAGGTGTGGTCTGTGCCTTTCAGGACTTCCTTCTAGCTCATTCATGAAGAGGACACTGGTCTTATGAGAAGAGGAAAAACAAACTGGGTGAGACCCTGGGATTGGCAAGTTCTTTCACTTCCTACTTGCCTTCTTCCTGTCCAAAGGATGCCCCAACTCCAGAAGTTGTGGCCACACAGAGAGTTGCAGGGACAGACAGAAGATGAATCCACTAATTACTCAGATGGAGTTCTACTAAGTTGCAGTCACACATGCTTAGTAAGAACCGGTAGCTTGGAAACAAGAAAACAAATGACTATATGTAAATTGGGCCTGAGGCATTCTGATTCCCATCACCAATCTATGACTTTTCTGGTGAAAGTAACTCTGAATGTTGCTATTTGTTCTCCCCAAAGGGAACACTCTTTCAGGTTGCAAAGAAAGGTACACATAGCCAAATATTAATTATACTCCCACCCCCCCTCACTTCTCCTTTAATAGATCAAGGCAAGAACTAGGAACGCTTTCCAGAATACACTCCCTTTCTTTCCTCCTTTGGAATAAAAAAGATACAGTTTTGTAAGCTGCTCCCTGATTTCTGAAAACCAGCCTAGTATGGTTTAACATCTAAAGCACAGAAATTCTGAAGGAGCAAAGATCAACCAGCATGACTTTGTTAATCTGAAAGCACCTCCTTCTTTAAAGCTCTTAAAAATGAAGCAAGCTCAATGGTTTAAGCAAATGTAGCAAATTTGTAAATGAAAGACCCTGGATCACAGTAGATTTTAAAAATGCTTTTATTGAAGGACTTCTGCCATGCCTACCTCCACCCATGTCTACAGTTTCTTAAAAGAGTCATTTTACAAGGAGTTACCTCATTCTCTGATGGTTTAAAGCAGTCTTTCTCAACCTTGGCAACTTTCAGATGTGTGGACTTCAACTCCCAGAATTTTGGGAGTTGAAATCACACATCTGAAAGTTGCCAAGGTTGAGAAACACTGGTTTATAGTGTCCTGTTCACTGAATTCTCAGCCTTCCTCAAAAGTAATCTTTCTGAGTCCTATTCTTATCTTCTCTCCCATCTTTACTGGCCAAGCACATTGTGAAACTGCCCCTAAACTGGGCAATAGTACAAGTAAGCACAACTTGGTTGTATATCTCTGAAGTTCTGAGTATGCCTCTTGTGCTGTGGTTCTCAAACTCTTCTACATATCCTACACAGAATCTATGTAATTAATTACACCTCAGTCACAGTTTTTGGACTGTAGATTTTCAAAGGCTATATGGCCAGACCAGCTCAGAACAAGGCAATGATTCTATCAGTGTTAAATGTCTACTATCAGTCATTAATT